ATTAGAGACAGGGTCTCACCATGTTGGCCAGGATGATCTTGATCTCTTGACCTTGTGATCCACCCACCTTGGCCTCCCAAAGTGCTGGGATTACAGGCTTCAGCCACTACACCCAGCCTGTTATTATTTTCTTTAGAGACAGGGTCTCACTCTGTTGCCCAGGCCTTGAAAATATTTAGGAAGTTCCAGCCAGGTGCCAGCTCCCATCGCTGGACACTGTGATCATCACTGGTGTTGTGATTTGTGCTGGGACCTCGGGCCAGCCACATCCCCCAGAGGCTCAGTTTCCTCATCCAGAAACAGCAGGATTGGCTGTCCTCGGGCATTGGTGTTTTTAGCACCCACTGGGGAACTTGTTAAAAACCTAGGTGCCCTGGTTCCTCCCCACCCTCTTCCCCCAGACCCGCTGAGGCAGAATCTTCCAAGGCAGGGTGACTCCAGGGACTGGCAAACTGTCTCATGCCCACCTAAGGCCTGAGTACCATGGGGAAGGGCCTGGGGGGGCTCTGACGTGTCATTTGGGGCCTTCTCCTCGCCCAACCCATCATCCTCTCTCCCTCACCTGCCCAGGGCCTGGAGATCGTGAACCCACAGGCCGCGGAGAAGAAGGTGGCTGAGGCCAATCAGAAGTATTTCTCCAGCATGGCCGAGTTCCTCAAGGTCAAGGGCGAGAAGAGTGGCCTGATGTCCACCTGAACGATGGCGTGTGCCCAAGGTGGCTTCCCACTGAAGGGACGTAGAAGTCCAGGCCTTCTGAAGGGCTGGGATGGGGGTTAGGGATTGTGGCAGGGAGAGCCTTCCCCGCTGCCCACCCCAGTGCTGGACTGCCCAGGGAGGGGCCTTGGAAGAAGCCCGGCCCAGCCTCCTCCAGGACCGAGCTCACCGCCCTGGATGGGTTAGAGCAGGTCTTCATCATGCCTTGTCTTTGTTATTTTAACTGAGAAAGGAGATACTTTTTTGGAGAGAGTACAATTAAAAAGCACATTATCAAGATCTGTCCTTGGGGAGTGATCATTTTTCAAACAGCTGGGGCAACTAGAATAGTCAGAGCCGTGGAGTTTTAGGAAAAGAGCTCGGCCTTCGGGGCCCACTCCCTTCCCCGTTCCTTTCTCACCATGGGATCCCAGGAGGAAGAAAACCCTCTCCAGCCCCCTGGAGAACCTCAGTCGCTTTGATACCAAATGATGTGGCTGCTGACAACTGAAGGTATCAGTGCAGGCCGACCAAGGTTGCTGTGGCCCCTCAGGCCCATTGCCTCACGTCTCCAAGCCTCCACACCTACGCCCAGGTGCCCAAGACTGGAAAGAATGCGCAGAAAGCACTTCACACAGGGCTCGCCATCAGCGCCCAGTAACTGGGTCCTGTTATTGGTTTTGTTTTTAGATGCACAGGCTTCAGCCACTGCGTCTAGCCTCTTACTATATTTTATTTATTCATTTTTTTGAGATGGAGTCTCACTCTCGCCCAGGCTGGAGTGCATGACTTCAGTTTACTGCGACCTCCACTCCCAGGTCCAAGTGATTCTCTTGCCTCAGCCTCTTGGGCAGCTGGGATCAGGCACCCACCACCAAATTTTATGGATTTTTTTGGTGTTTTTTTTGTTTGTTTTTTTGAGATGGAGTTTCGCTCTTTGTGACCCAGGCTGGAGTGCAATGGCGCGATCTCAGCTCACCGCAACCTCCACCTCCTGGGTTCAAGCAGTTCTGTCTCAGCCTCCTGAGTAGCTCGGACTACAGGCATGCGTCACCATGCCCAGCTAGTTTTTGTATTTTTAGTAGAGACGGGGTTTCACCATGTTGACCAGGATGGTCTCGATCTCTTGACCTCATGATCCACTCGTCTCGGCCTCCCAAAGTGCTGGGATTACAGGCGTGAGCCACCCCGCCCGGCCTGTTTGTTTGTTTTTTGAGACAGAGTCTCTTTCTTGCCCAGGTTAGAGAGCTGTGGCGAGATCTCAGCTCACTGCAACCTCCACCTCCCAGGTTCAAGCCATTCTGCTGCCTCAGCCTCCCCAGTAGCTGGACTAGAGGTGCGTGCCAGCATGCCTGGCTAATTTTGGTATTTTTAGTAGAGGTGGAGTTTTACCATATTGGCCAGGCTGGCCTTGAACTTCTGACCTCAAATGATCTGTGTGCCTCGGTCTCCCAAAGTGCTGGGGTTACTAGTGTGAGCCACCGCACCTGCCCAGCCTCATTTATAACCAGTGTGAAGCGGCTGTGTGCAGCCCTGGCAAAGGGAAAGCAGGCAGGCTCCCTGCCCTGGTAGGACCTAGTTGCTGTGAAAGTTGCTGCCAGGTGAGCAGAAGGAGCACACTGGCCCTCCGGTCATGGAGTCTTGGTAACCGGGGCTCAGCCAGGGACACCTTTACTTGGGCTGAGGGGACTGTGGCCTGCAGGCAGTCGGGGGAAAGGCTTTCCAGGTGAGGAGACAGCAGGGGCTGTCCTAGTGGGTGGCATGAAACCGTGGTCTCCCTGGAAAGGTTAAGGAAGAGCAGCTCAAGGGGTTCCATTTACTCTGTGCTCTGGAGCTGGGCTTGACAATGGTACTAAGGAGGCCCTAGTCACCTGACCTATGAGGTAGCGGTTGGGCCTTCTGTTAGTTACCTAAGGGATGTTACCAGGACAGGCAGCAGCCCTGGTGGCAAGATGATGCCTCCAGGTCTCCACCTTCCCTCTCTCACCACCTTTCCACAATTTCTCCCTCCCTCTCTCTACCTTCCTTCTCCCTCCCTCTCCCTCCATCTCTCCACCTTCCCTCTCCCTCCCTCTCTCCACCTTCCCTCTCCCTC